GCTGGGCGATGTAATTCACATTACAAACTCAAATTTTCACGAAATGATGCATTAGGGCAGCAGCGGTTTTATGCGCCACTAACGGCACGCACCAGCGTCTTTGACTTTCGGGTTTACATCAAAGGCTTCACCCACGGAGTTTCTTTATGCAAAAAAAGCAAAAGGGGGAACTCACCTCGTGTTTGACCATCCGCAGTCCTACTCCGTGCACGTGCTGCAGCTTGCGCACGTGCTCTGGCCATTGCAGGAGATCTTGCAGGAGCGGAACGAGCACCACCTCCAGCACTACCTCCTCCTCCACCTCCTCCTCCTCCCCCTGTTAACTGCGATGCAGCAATGGGGTCTCCTTCCTCTATTGCTGTCCTAGCTGATTGAAGCCGTTGCATTTCCTCTCCGCTTCCTTGAAGTAGTACAAACGAGAAATAATGTTAGTATTGGTCTTCACTTACTCATGTTACCCTGACATGCTTCACAAGCAACAATGCAAACTACGAAGAGAAATACAGTTTTTGTTGAGAACATTTCAACGACGAGAGATCTAAAATAGGATGTGTTTAGAACTTGCAAGAGACAGTAAAACATTATAGAATTAGGACTGGCTTGTCTAAGCTTAATGCCCATTCCGCTATCTCACGCTTTTATAGCTACGTATTTCTAAGCTTATCTACACTTGGTAATCGCGAGGCGTGACCACTAACAAGCAAGATTATACAGGCATCTTTCCAAAAACGGAAAAGAAGTTGGATGCCAAAGTGAAATAAAATATCACCAATGTTGGCGGTAGGGATTTTGAGGGTGAAGTGGTAGAGTTCCAGAGAACTGGCGGTCAGAAGAGTAGAACAGGCTAGTAGAACAGCTATAGGCGTATTCTTCTCTTTTCCTTTTCTCTCAAAGAAGGTAGCGAATGCAATCTCCTTCTGAAAGCATATAACGCACCTATGCATTTAAAAAAGCCGTGACCGACTAAGATCTTGTAATCTACCTATGAAGTTGGCAAGAGAGTTTTCGGACATTTTCAAACTGAATCTACTTCTCGAAAACCAATGCATGTACATGCGCAAAAATTTGTAGCTGTATTCTCTGTCTCTCGCATGAACCTAAAATTTAAGAAAGTGGAAAGAGTCTAAGATCAGTGGGGGCGGAATTTGCCACATTCGATAACCTTGTTTTTCTTGTTGTTTAAGCTCAAGTCCATACACACTCCTGCATGTGAGTATATAAGTATACTATAATTTGGAGCATGTGGGGCTCTATACGTTTCCAGAAGTTGCAGATCTGGTTTAGGTCAGATCCTATCTTTGAATTTTTCTGCTAAACTTTCATAGAAAATATCCAGAGAATTTAAAGTATGTAGAGTGCCCTAATCTGTGCTTATCGATCAAAGATCTTATCGACATACAAAGTGCGAAGACTCTTATTAGAACCTAATGATAGCCAGCGAACTAAGCGAGAAGAATTAGGAGAAGTGTAGTCCAAAAGAAGAGGAGCCTTCGATTCGTCAGGTCTATCATACTTGCTTGGACATAGTGCATTTCAGTTCATATTAGGTTGGCGGACAATCTCTGTTACACTTTTTTATTCCCTAAAAATCTAGGAAACTCGCAAAAAATCTTATATTCAAGATTTTTGAATCTTAAGTTTGTCAAGTCCTCTTTTGTCTCGTCTAATCT